CAATAGATTTAAGAGATGAAAAGGTGCCAGCTGGCGGTGGTGGGGACATGGCAATCATCTCTGCTTCAAATAGGCCTTCCAACTTGTCCAATGCAATAAGAGTCAATTCCTCGAGGGTTTGTACGGGTGGGTTTATCCAAGAGGAAAAAACGCACTCCATTCCGTTACACCGCAGAATCCCGCAACTCTTCAAATATTTTGCATCTTTAATGGAATAAAAATCATTTAAGCTTCTTAGGTTGTCACAATTATGAATGAATAATCCATTTAATGAGGGTGGCAATAATATATTCTCTCCAACAATATCTATTCCACCGAATTCCACTGTGCGATAACCTCCAGGACGGCCCATAAAAGTAGAATTTCGAACTCTAAGAAAGTATCTACTCAGCTGAACTCCTCGATCATTAACACATTTCAAAAAGATGTTCCAGTCATGCACTGTAGGGAACCTGCCATGAAAATCTTCCAGCTTCTCCAATCTCCCTATCACTTCCCCTCTTAATGCTATACTCTCATCCACAAATAATTGTTGTAGTTTTGAAAGATTTAATAATATTGCATCATCTAATATGCCACAAAATTTTTCGTGACCCCATTTTGTAAGACTAAGATATTTGAGATTTGTACACATTTCCAGGCCTCTAGGGACTTCTTTGATTCCTGTCCAATTAAGGTCTAACTTTTTTAAAGCTCCAAACTCTGATAAAGATGGAACCTCTGTTAAGGAATGACACCATTGCAACAAGAGTGTAGTGAGATTCACCAATTTGGAAATGGACCTTGGCAAGCTCCTCAGCTGAGAATTGTAGGAAAGATCAAGAATTTTGAGCGCAGGCATATGCTCAAAGACAGATTCTGAAATTGTTGACAAATGATTGTGGGACAACAACAAAGTTGTGAGCATTGTGCATTTTGAAGATAGGATGCTTGAAGGAATTTCTTCTATCCTATTCCACATTAATGAAACCTTTTCAAGTTCTTCCGTCCATTTTCCCTTCTCAGGTAGCTTTGTCAATGCCTTACCAGCTTCTACCATGAACTGAGGACTCGTTCTTGTAATTTGCAATGCCATATCCCTAACAAGATCATGCATTCTCACACTATCATTTTCAAATTTACTGGATTCCAACAGACAATTGTCTTGAAGTTTCTTCAATCTATCAAGTCCTTCATCCTTCATTGCTTGTACAGTCTCCATTTCATCTATCAACCCCTCATCAATCCAATAATCAATTATATCATCTATTGGGATATTGTGGTCCTCTGGATACAATGCACAACATAAAAAGCAATGTTGGATTTTTGAGGGTTTCAAACGATCATAACTAAATTTTAATACCCCAAATGCATTATCATCATCTGTACCTGCTACATTTCTTTTGCAGTTTTTTAATTGATTCAATGCAGCACTCCACAACCGTGGCTCGGATTCTCCCTTCAAGCTACCAGCAACTGTAACAATTGCCAAGGGAAGGCCAGCACATTCATCTACAATCCCCTTTAAAGTTGCTTCTAAAGTTCCTTTAATGCACCCTTGATCTGATAAAACAATATCTCCAACTTTATTTATAAACAATTTTAAAGCTTCCTTTTCTAAAAGAGTCTTCACTTCAATTATCTTACATTCCATGTCACGAGCAACTGCATGTGACCGTGTAGTCAATACCAACTTGCAACCATTACTTTTGAGCGGCTCAGGAATTCCAACAGTTGTAAGTTTAAAGCTATCCCATGCGTCATCTAGAATCAGTAAGAAACGCATCTGTCTTTGCAACACGCTTAACAACATTCCTGCACGTATATTTGTATTTGGTTGCTTAAGTATATCTTCTTCCTTCAAGGTGGATGCAATTTGCTCTTGCAATTTGTAGATATCAAGGGGTTGTGACACAGTTGCCCAAATTATTTTCTTGAATTTGGCTTTTGTCAACAACTCATTGTGGACATTCTCCATGATTGTTGTCTTTCCAACTCCCCCCATTCCCCAAACGCCAAGCTTTGTCACCTCATTTCCCATCAAGCATGCCAAAATTTCTTCTTTGACATCTCCACTACCTTGTAATTCTGTTGTTGGCAATTCCACTGAAGCAGATGGATCATCTCTGACCAAACACCTGTTAGCCAAACGATCCCCTCTTTCATATATTTCCTGCAGTTCTTGAGCCCTTTCCTGTAGAACCTTTACCCGACAACAACATGAGAGACATCCCCAACCATTCACTTCATTTGCAATGTTTTTAGCAACAAACTTTTCTGCATCCTCCAACCATGCTTGCACTTCCACCTTTGCAACTTTCCCATAGTGAAGCTGTGTCTCCAGTATGGATTCAATTTCACCCTTTTGGCTACACAAGCGTTGTTTCCTTGCATTGAATTCTTCCAAATCACTATTGAACTTTATTTGATATTTTAGGTATCTCACAATTGGACCACCAACAGACTTCACAATTTCAATGATTGGCCCAACAAAGTTCTCCATAATGTAGTCTCTGCATCACAT